TGGACTTGTCGGTTGCCATGTTAAGTAAGACCATTCTTAATTTAATTTTATCTAATGACATTATTGTATTGTAAGCATGGTGCTTGTTTCAAGGGCTTTAGCTCAGCCCCAATTGTATAATGTGGCAGACCTTGGACATAATAGAGGTCCTGTTCAGCTCAAATTTCCTTCATTGCTTTATCAAATCTTGCCTCCTTGAAGCGCTGAATAGTTTAGCAAGATTGTCCAGGAAGTTGCCAAGTTAGGTTTCAAACCAACGGAGCTACTATATATTCTAGCCATCCCGCCAAATAGCAGTCATTAGAAAATCTCTTTGGAAAAAAGTGCAAACTTATTAATAAGTTTGGTTTGTCCAAGGATGAAAGACAAACTATGGTTTTCGTATGAACAAACTGGATTTTTTGAGCCTTTGCATCTGGTTCTATTAAGGGGGATATCATTCTTGTATTCACAGTGAAATAAAAAATTTGTGAAGAGTTTTCTGACCAATTATAGTGACATGATTGAGTTCCATTATTATTTTTCTGAGTTGCACACTATTGTTTAGCAGGAAACTTTTTGTGACATTATTTTGCAGTGGTATCGTGTATTAGAGCGAGGAACTTCAACCATTGTTCAGGACAGATTGGTCTTGACATCTATTGAGCCAAGTCTAGTGTTTCCATCCACTCCACTGCTTGGGCAGGTAAGAGATTGGGTAATGTCTGATTCGTTTACGGTTGATATCAAACTTGTTTACTGGCCAAATTCCATCAGAAATTGGGCTCTTGCATAGTTTGAGCTTCCTTGAATTGTCAGAAAGTCGATTCACAGGAGAAATTCCCCCAGAAATTGGCAGCTGCACTCGGGAGCTTCCTTGAATTTTTTGCATTCTTTTTAAGAAAGATACCTGTGTTTGTTATGTTTTGGCACTATCCCTTGCCAATCTTTAGTGGTACTAGGAAGTATATTTATGTTTTCTCATGTTTGTCTCTTTGTATGTTTTGCACCCTGCAATGTAATATTTCCCCTCTAAGGGCCAGTTTGGTTGGGAAGAAATGGAAGGAAAAGAAAAGAAAGGAAATGCAGGGATATGGAGTTTTGTGTTTGGTGATAAGTGCTTAAATGTTACACATTTCAGCACCTAGGCTAGGGTATTTCAGTCTTTGCATCTATCTTAATTTCCTGTTTTAGTCCTAATTTATGTTTATGTGTATTTCAGGGCAATAAAGTTAAAATGAGCTAAGAACGGTCCATTAAAGCCTTTTTGAAATCAAGAAAAGATATTCAGAAAAGCTCAGAAAATGACAAAAAGGAGGTCGCAGCCCATTGCTCGTATAGTGTGTTTATTCTTCAAAAGCGGTCAATCTCAGGTCTTTGTTGATGTTCCCAAAGATGAAGAAGCAAACTAATGAGCTCGGGGCCAAAATGGAGCTAAATAGGGCTTAAAGGAAATTTCCAACTCTGGGGGGATCGATCCCCCAGGACTTGGCAACATTACAGATTTTTTTTATTGTTTGGGCTTATTTTGTGAACTATTGGGCTTTAATAGGGTTGTTACTTAAGGCCCAGTGAGCCATTAAATTAGGGTTAGTATTTATTTTATTTAGGTGAATATTATTAGAATTATTAAGTTTTATTTTTTTTTGGTACCGAGATATCACGTTCTCTCGAGAGAACAGGGTAGGGTGAGAAGAGAGGGAAGAGTGGAGGCACAAGTTTGGAAGAATATCTACACACTCATCTCTCTTGAGCATCAAAGAAGAAGAAGAAGGAGTAAAGCATGGAGGTGGATCTTGTTGACACCTTGATTACCACAACCATGATGGGCTAGCTCTCCACTTAGGGCTTGGTTAAGCCCTAAGTCTCTTGTAATCTAAACCTTTGCAATTTCTATTTCTGGGGAGATTAATATATTGTTGTAGTTGATGTTGTGGTCTTGTGATTTCATACTTTGATGTTCCAAGATTTATGTTAATTAATCCTTCCATTATTTCTCTATCTTTGGTTGCATGTCTATGTGTGATCAATCTAGGATTTATACTCATGATTAGATGTTAAAAATTAATTCTTTCATTAATTCTCTATGTTAATTTCATGTCTATGTGTTATTAATTGAGAATTATACTTGAAGACCATGACATGGTATTTAATGGATGCAATTGTTAACTAATTTGATTGTTTATACTTTATTCTTGATGGGTTGTGTTATGATTAGACAATTCATACTTGAAATTGATATTCCACACTTATTATATGCAATTTATATCATCTTCTTGATTGTGGATTATATGCAAATGGTCAATGGATTTGTTTGGTTCTGGTTTTGTCTTGATAGGTTGTACTACACCCTAGTTTACTTGTCATTAGGTAGACAATCTACACTTGATTAATCAATCCATCATCATGATTGAAATTTGTGTTATCACATTGATGTGTGCTCTCATTGGATGCATTTGTGGATTGGTGAGATAGGTTAAGCCTCAAGATTGGTGTGTTGTCCTACACTTAGTTTACTTGTTGGTTAGGTAGGCAATGCATTACAAATGAATTGGATGATCATGCTTACATATGCAAATTGTGCCATTGATTGTAGCTACATTTTAATTACAACAATGTTCTCCCCATTAATGGAAAGCAAGTGGTTAATTGCATGAGCTTAGTGGTGCTTCCAATAAACCCTAAGAATTTTCTTCTATCTCTTAAATCCCTAACTCTAACTTAGTTTATTTTCATTGCATTTTAATTTAATTGTTCACTAGCTTAATCAACCAACCATCTATTTTATTCTCTCTTTCTCTTTCTTAGGGTAATCACTTGTTAAAATCAATTGTCTTATTTAAATCCAAGCCAAAGGTCTCTTGGGTTCGATCCCTTCTCACTTCATACTGCATAGTATAAGTGTCTAGCGATTTATAAATGTAAACTATGATGCCCGCTTGATACCATTTCCAAAACCGAAGTGTTGTGCATTATTTTGTACACACGCTCGGATCGCATCATTTGGTATAAACTTTTGGAAGGAAGAGAGAGGAAATGAAAGGATTTGGAGGGGATATGTTTAAAGCTTGAATAGATTTTGTTATTCCTCAAAAAATGGGAGGAAATGGAAGGAAAGGGAGGGAAATGGTAGCATTTTTAATGAAATTTTTATAATTTCAAATTTGTCCTTACTTTTAGAAAAGATAAGAACCATGGGAAAGGTCATAGTGATAAATTCATTAAAATAGTTTCTTTCCCTCCCTTCTCGTTTGTTAGTCAACCAAATATGATAAGACTATCTCTCTTCTTCTTTCCTTTTCTTTCTTTTCATTCTCTTGTGACTAATTTTATCTTCCTTTTTTTTTTTTTTTTTTTGCACTGCACCAAACATAGCAGCGAATGAGAAAAGGAGAATGACAAAGCAATCTAGCCGAGGCATGAGATTTTTTCTTTTATTTTTAATCTTATTCTATTAGCCTCCACATGTGCGGTTCTTTCATGTTGTGAAGTGGCATGTTTATTTTCTTTTTCCTTAATGTAAAAAGTGTCATAAAGTTTTTAGTTATTTTTAGATTCATTTTCATAAATTAGTATCACTAATTTTTATGGAGATTTCTTCATCTTTAAAATTTTAATGTCCATTTTTGTCTTTGGGTAGTGAGGTGTCACCCTTAGTCAGCATATTCTCAAAAATCCCATAAATTAGGAATCCTTTTTTTTTTTTTTTTTTTTTTTTTTTTTTTTTTTTTTTTTTGGGAATTTAGGCTTTATTTATTTTTTAAAAGTGGTATTGTGCAAAAGTAACAAAATATAATAATATGTCAGAGGTATTTTCGTCACTTGTTTCTATTATCCATCGATTTGGCAACTGAAAATATGAAATAAAACGATTATCAAATGGACATCTTTGTAATGTCACGGTTTTAAAATGTACCCTCTTTCCACCTCATCATTGGTTTTTCTATCATGATTGTGATAAGGGTATCCAAACTCTTCGAATAACTAGTAAATCAAGAGACCTAGATCATCTTCAATACACTTTTGTGTACTATATTTTTTATTGTAATTAAATTGAGGATCCAACATCACCCAATATTAAATCAAACTTGCAATACTATGATTTTAAAATTTTGTATTCTTGATTTAATAGTGTTCCATGTTGAATTCTTGGAAAAATAAGTTGTTTTGAGTATTTGCAAGCATGTTGAAATTGCATCATCCATATGTTTACTGACAAATAGGAAAAGGTTTGGTGTGGGTAACCCAAAGAGAATTATCTTGGTCCTGGGGTGGCATAGAGAATAGGGGTGTTCATTTGATATGTGAATTTGATCTGATTGAACTTTTAACTCCATGATTTCCGTGACGTATTTATACATTAAGAATACATATAGATCAGATAGCGAATTAAACTCTCCAAAAACCAATCCAATCCATTAAAAATAGAAGTCCTACACAACCCTCAAACCCAATTTTGAGTTGTTCGAATCTTATAAGACTTTCTTGCACTACCTTGTAAAAGTGCTCAAATATCGTCGACATCTGCTTGAAACCGATGCACATGTAGTTGTTGGGCTTTTCAAAACTTATGTTTCACTGAAAAGCTTTAAGAAATCATGAAGCATCTAAATTTATTTTTATTTACGCTCGATTGTTTGCCAAATATGTTTAACTATTCCAAAATCGAGAAAAATCTTTTATTACTGTCTCTGTCCCTTAATAATAGTTCAATTTTTCATTTCATACTTCTTAAGGTAACAATTTTTATTACATTTTATTGAGTTGGCAAAAAATGCATTTTCAAGTTTGCCCTTTCCTAAAAGGTAGGGTATTGGTTTTTGATGGGATCCACTTATTTTTGAGTTTCAAGAGTAATAGTATAAAAGATGGAGTCCACCTTCTTTTAGGGACAAATTAAAAATGTAATAAGAAGTAGTGTATTAATTTTTAAAATGTGATAATTAATTAAAATAAGACAGCAAAAAATAAAATAATAAAATATTAATATGAGACAGAAGGAGTACAAACTAATTTTTTTTCCCAAAAAGCCACCTAAAGCAAGTTACGGATCAATCCTTCGTAAATCATTTTACGAGCCCCAATCATCCCGGTGACCTCAACCCTCTGCCCTCTTCTCTCTCTCTCCTACCCCACACACTCTCTCCTCAAACTCGCCTACACCATCGCCACTCCTCCGTCGCTGTGAAACTCTAGAAGAAAGCAACAGGTATGAAATCTATATATTTGCATGTATATCTTTGTATATAAATATGCGTTTCTGATTTAAAAAAAATTCAATTTCATTCTAAAATCCGGGTCCGGCATGGCTTTGTATTTGGGATCCAGATTTCCATCGTTTGGATCCAGAATACTCCTCTTCTGGGTAACAATTACCAATCTCTCTGCGCATATGTTTTGTGTTGATTTGATTTCCATGTGTGTGTATATGTATTTTTCAGTCTTCAATTCGATTTTAGTGTTGATTGGCTTCCTTAGTGGTGATTGGCTTTGGGTTGTTAATAAAAGAGGGCTTAAGGGTGATGAATTGATTGGGATGTATGTCGATCCAGAACTCCTTGAATTCTACTTTAAGTTGTTGAACACTAATAATGAGTAATATAAAACCACATGACTCTGAGTGGACTTTTGTTAAGGAATAAAATTGTTCTCATTAACATTTCTTATTACACAAGCGAGATCGTTTAACATAGGCTTAATTTTTGGTACCTAGAAAGGCTAAAAATTCACTCTTCAATATTACATATCAAACGTATAGAATTTGATTCATAACCTTCACAATCAAAACAATGTCAAAATTTAGTTCTATATCAAAAAATATCTTCCAACACCTCATTTAGAACAGAGCATGAGGACTAGTACCTTTTTCTGGAATGATGTTTTTAGTTGTGAATTGTCCATGTACTTAATAATGTATATAACATCATGAAAAGTTATCTTCTTGTTGTTCAATCAGTATAGAATACAATCAAAAGTGGAGGACTATTACCTTTTTCCTGGAATGATGTTTTTAGTTGCACTTATAATAATGTTCATTGTTCAGTAAGTTGAATACATGGTTTCATTGACTCTAATTGGGAACCTCGTCATGCTTGAATTGATTTAACCCTTTTACATAACTGGGATTACAAAACGCCTCAAATAAAAGAAAGAAATAAGTAATGACTAGAGAACCAAATGGTGTAATAAGGGTTTAGAAGGAAAAAAAAAAAAAATTGATGGTGGAGGAGTTAGGCAGCATACTTTGTGGGTAGCGGGTGTAGGAGGTGGAGAGGAGAGAGAGAATGGAGAGAGGGAAGAAGAGGGAGAGGAGAGAGATGGTTGTGATGATGGAAAATTGGCACTGGACGGTGCCCAAGGTGGGAGGAGGTGGCCATGGTTGGGGTGGAAGTGGTAGGTGGCTGTGGCTGTCATATTTGTTTCATATGGGTTATGTTCATTTAATAAGATCTTTTTATTAAAAGTGCTTTAGAAAGACAATTATGACATTCATAAGTTATTTACTCATTTATTTATTTTTTATATTATTACTGGTTCTGAAGCTGGGGACAAGCGATGCCAAGAGGACTCGGTATTGTTTCATCTATTGTGAGACAATGAGCTTATTCTAAATCAGAACTCAATGGTAGGTATTTTTATCTTCCTTAGGTGCCATCTTAGGATATAATTAAAGCCCCGGTACCCTCATCTAGTAGGCTATGGGAGATTTATACATGACATGGGTGATCTAGGGTCCCTTTTGAGCTGAAACTTTGAAAAAACTGTAATACTGATGTGTCAATGGGTGCAACATAGAGAAATTGTAGAGTCCTATGCAAATACAGAATCTGATACCCTTTTTTAATCCCTATTGATCAGTAGATCAGCATTCCATCAAGCAAGTCCTTGGCCCTTGGGATGTGAGAATTTACATGCTATGCATTTGGCCAGTATTGAATTTAATGTGAAGTATTCGATTTTTTTGTTAATTTTCTAATATAAGGTACGGAGGTGGGCAATAAAGAAAGACTATAAAGATACTACTAATATCTTTTGAATTAGTTCCACTTTCCTTATATTTTATATAAACACTTGTTTGTTGAGTATGTTATCTATGTTGAATAAGCACTTGTCTGTTTGCAGCTCCAAAAGATGGTGCCTTTTATCATGAATATGCACAGCACATTGTGTAGTCATTTGGCGTTGTTGGATGCTTTTGTGTTTCAATTGCTGCTGCCGATCTGAACGTACTTCAGTAATTTTATTTTTTATTTTTTATTTTATCAGCAGCAGCAGAAAAAATAAAGATTTGAAATATTCCAACTTTGGCTTAATGATTTTTTTGTCAAAAAACCTATAAGCTGAAGTTAGAGTACTTCAAATCTTTGGGCTTTTCAGAAGCAGAAATTGCAGAGTTATTGTCATCTGTACCTTATATCCTTGGAAGAAGCCTTGAAAACCAAATCATACCTGCTGTTCAAGTCATTAGACGTATTGTTGGTACCAATGAGGATGTCTTGAAAGCAATCAAAGCGTGCTATGGAATACTTGAATTAAAGTTGGAGAAGGTGTTGGAACCAAATATTGCAATCTTGTTGAATCATGGTGTACCCAAGTCATTAGTCCTAAAATGGTTTATACCCAAGTCATTAGTCCTAAAATGGTTTATGAATAAACCAAAGTTCCTACTTTTAAAAAGTGATCTGTTTAGTGAGGTGGTCAATGATGTTAAAAAAATGGGTTTTGATCCCACAAATTTGCTATTCATGTCAGCGATGCATTCAATGGCAATGAATCAATGATGAGCAAATCACCCGGGGAGCAAAAATTGGGAGTTTATTCTAGTTTTGGTTTGTCAGAAGTCGACATTATTGCATCATTCAAGTTAAAACCACTGTGAATGACTGCTTCAAAGGAGAAGATCAGGAAATCAAATACTTCTGCTATTTAGCTTGGAGAAGAGGATGGTGTACTGTTCTACAGCTTTTGATGTCGAAAAATCTGATTGAGGAAGACGTGAGCTTAATATATGCACTCAAAATGACTGAAAAGATGTTTGTGGGGAAGTTTATGAGCAAGTATCAGAATGTGATTCCTGAATTCGTCAAGCAAGTCAAGGCAAGATACAATTTCAAGGGTTTCCCTTTAATTTAAGAACATGAATGGCTGTAATATTTGTGGAATTTAAGAACAACTTCACTATATTGTATTACTAGTCCATAGAAAATCACCATGTGGAGCTTATATGGTAGTTGTATGGGGTAGTGGCAGTGGCAGTACTAAACGCAGCTCAGGAGAAGTTCCCTTAGCATCCATTAGTTCTGGAAGAACGACATCAATTGAAGGATCGCAAAGTCCTATTAGTGATTCTTCTTTTTTTTTTCCCCTTCAAAAAACTATGGTAGACATTTGCTTTTTATGCTTAAGATAGATTTACTTCAATTTGTACAATTTAAGCATCATTTTGTTGTTCTTGTACGATGATGCATGGACAATTCAGTTTGTTTCCTCCTAATCTTATGAACTACTGGTCCTTCGTTTTGCAGTCACTCATATGAGTTGTACTTTTGTTCCTGTTCTGTGCTTTCACCGCATGGTATATTGTACAGAGAGCTTTAAGGTACTAATGGTTGGCATGCTTTACATGTTGGTTGAACTCCACTTGCAAAAGCTTCCAGGTTGATTATTTGAGTTTATTAACTAATCATAAAAATATTTGACTTCTTCAGAGAGCTTGTGCTTTGATGGGTGTTATGGAAGACTTGTGCAAGGCTCACCATGTTAATTTCATTTTATCATATGCATGGTGCCTGTTTCAGGGTCTTTATCTCAGCCCCAAGCATCGGCATTACCTGCGTCTATCCACTAGAAAGGTATGATAGTGTGTGTGGGCATCCTTAATCTTGTGGAGAGTTTTGTGACCAATTATCATGACATGATATAGTTACATTATTATGAATAACCAGCTTGTTTTCCTGAGTTTCACACTGCTGTTTAGCAGGAAACTTTTTGTGACATTAGAGCAAGGAACTTCAACTCATAGTTCAGGAGAGATTGGTCCTGACGTCTATTGAGCCTAGTGGTTCACTAAAAATCTGTTTTATGACCTTTGATTTCTTATCACTATTTTTCTTTCTGTTTAATACAAAATATTGCAGAAGATTAGGTAAGAGATTGGGTAATGCCTACTTGTATTATAACTAACGGCATTCAAGTAAATTCTGCCATCTTAAGCTTTTTTAATGGATTTAACTTCTAATTCATTTATTTCTTGAACATCCTAATCATTAAATTGGGGATACAACAATATCACAAACATTAAATTAGGCGCCCAATTTCATTAAATTGGGGATACAACAATGATGCAAAGGTATTCCATTCTCTATTTAATGTAGTATAGGATGAGCTAAATGGTACATTTGAGATGGGCTGCAAGTTCAATTTTGTTCAATGTCTCATTTCAGGTTATTCTCTTTGACAATCATTTTTTTTTTGTTTTGTTTTGGTTGTTTAGAATTAGAATTGAACATAGGAAAAATATTGGAGAGTGATTTTAAACAATTGAATAATTGATTTCTTAAACTGAAACGACCCTAAATTGATACCATTTTTAAAAAAAATTTGGCATGACCTCCCCTAAAAAGGGGACTATAACCATCTGCTCAAATAAAAAAAAAACACAATGGCCCTTCCTGGCCTCTCAAAACACCTCCAACCTGTCCCAACACATAATACAATTAATATACTCCAACATCCCATCCATTCGTTCATTATACCTCAACATGGTTCATCTCATGGTAGAACATCTACACATCGTCTAATCCAAATTATCATAATTACAATTCCAAAATATAGTTACAATAACAAGAGTTCACAAATCTCTTTACCAAATATAACAAGTTAAGATATTACAAAAATATGGGACTTAATACAAAAATAGCAAAAAGAAGTCTTCTAATCCAAATTAGGCCTGTGGTGGAAAGTCATCCGCCATTTCTTTCCCGTTTCCTAAAAAAAAAATTATTAAATTATAGGGTAAGTATAAAGCTCAGTAGGTAGCACTTAAGACACGCTTCTTGTGTCCTCGTGAATCTAAACATAGAATAGAGCAATGAGAATGGGGATCAGGCCATGTAGGGAAACCACAATATAATAATCAATCTCCACATAATTAACATAATGCAATGGGAATGCAATGCATGCCGATGTCGCTCCCCATTTTCAAAATCAAAACCATCACTTGTAAACTGTTAATATAACCCACCCTTTGGTGACCCAGCAGTGACACGAGAGAAGGATTGGCTAGTGTCCCTGACCCTTGGTACCCCCGCAGCGTCATTATGGGGCCCAGCTAGCTCAACCACGCTAGGGCAATCTCCCTAGTTCCCTCTAGGCTATATTAACCTTCCGGCCCTTTGGTACCCCCGCGGCGACCGGGTTTTCACAAAACCGATTCATTATAATATTTTCCCAAAATTCTCTTTTTCTTTTCAACACATAAACATGCTCTTTACATAAAGCATTTAATCAACATAGTTCCATGGTTATCATATAAGCATGCTTTTCATACAACATATTTAACACATTCTCACATGTTCATATATCTCAATCAAGTCAATTTAAACTATAATTAACATAATTAAGCATTCTAAGACGCAAATCAAGTAGATCAACTCACTAAAGCACAAGATTTCATGGATTAAGGGCCCCTATCTCAATTTGTGTAAAACCCTCAAAATGGGTCTCTAATTTCGAAAGCCAAGGGGATACTCAAAGCTGAAATTGTTGGTATGAACGCGTAGAGCTCGCCGTGCTCTCCGTTTTGCCTCAAACGGTACTCAAATCCACCAAGTATTGAGTGAGATACCCTCATTGAAAGATTGACAGAGAAAAGAAAAAGATAAAGCACAACAAGAGAGAGAGAGAGATTTAGTGGGGAGAGAGAATGAGGGTTGGAAATGTGGTCTCTAGACCACTCTTGATATAGTGGTGGGTCCAACCACTTTTAAATTTCTTTTCCCTTTTCATTTTCTTCCATTTTACACCTCACACATATAAATGCATCACATACAAATACCACTTAATCCACATAAATTAAAATGCACAAAGTGCAATGGATCCAATTAAAAACCGGTACACAAAACGTGAAAAGACTGAAATATCCTTGCATCAACGAATCACCAGAAAAATGAAAAATGTAGAAAATTGGAAATGAGATCATGCATAACATTGTAGCCTACAACTTAATTACAAATGCTACACCAATCTAAATGTACAACGTGCCTACTTTCTGTTGTAACCAGGTGTACTATCTAGTAACAAGAACATCTAAAATTCTTTTCTTAACCCCCCAAAAAGAAAATGATAGTTTCGGTTGGATGAGATGAGTTAAAACTTTCGATTTTTTTTATTTTTCTTATTAGATCAATACTCACCTCACATCTTAAATAACTTAAATTGAGTTCTATTTTCAATTAAAATCCGAGCTGATAGTTGTCCAAGCCCATCATAGATGATGCTGGCAAATTCAGGTTGGTCAACAACTTAGCTCCCTAATTGGAACCTATGTGGATGCTACCATGAATATTATTTAGAGCGTGTGGATTATGAGGTGACATGAAAGAGACTTAAGAAAACATTAATCAATGCAAAAAATTTAGTGCTGTAAATTTTTACCATGCATTCCTCAAATACAGCAGAGGCTTCTTGTCGATCCCACAACCTACTGCGTAGTCTTGGATTCTCAAAATCTTCTTGACGGACGATTTCCCTACCAAGATCTCTTAGTTGATCATGCATTATCAATACATTATCATTTCCAAGTTTTACTAGAGACATGAGCCGAAGGACATTAATTTCTGTCTTCGGAAAATAACCGCAGTCATCCCACATGTAAAATGGATATGTTTTATCCATCCCAATAAAAAGACATGCAATATCAAGAAATATCTATTTTTGCTCATGGGTTAATACATCATAACTTACTCTCAATTTTTCCTGAACTTTATGATTTGGTATTTTCTTCAACTTCTTCGATGTATCTTCCCATACTGTTTTTGGCTTGTCAGATAGAAATGAACCTATAATCTCAAGAGCTAGAGGAAGCCCTGCAGTAACTGATACCACCTCTCTAGAGATACTATCAAAGTCCATTGGAGGTAACTTTCCGAAAAGCATGAATGCTGAGAAGTTGAAGAGATTGGTCTGGGTTCATAAATGGAGGTTCGTAAGTCTCTTCCACTTTAAGACTATTTAAAACATGTTTGTCTCTTGTTGTAACTATGATCCTAGTTCCTGGACCAAACCAATCACGATGTCAATCAAATTGAGACTCTTCATCCACATCGTCAAGAACAATGAAAACTTTCTTATTGAGAAATCAACTTTTGATAACTTCGATTCCATCGTTAACATTAGTAATGAGAGGGTGCGGTTTAAGAGTGTCGTTGAGAAGCTGGTTCTGCAAATCAACAATACCTTTATCTTTGTATTGTTTGACCTTTTCCCGAACATCCGCAAGGAAGCTACAACAATTTTTAAAGTCTTGGAGGAGCTTGTTGTAAATGGACTTGGCAATAGTTGTCTTGCCAATACCACCCATGCCAAGGATACCAACAATCCTTACATCATTTGAACCAACATTTAATAATCTCATCATTTCATTCAGATGATCATCAATCATAACTAAGTAGTCACTTGTAAACATGCATTTTTTCTTCAGGTTCAACGACACTGTTTGAACAATCGTTTCTACTAATTCCCCTTGATGCCTGATTAATGTCATGATGAAAATGAAAAATAATTAGTGACCGAGACATAAACAAGGAGCTAAAATAATGATTGATTTGTTCTACCTTAGGAACGAGTAATTGACTCATGAAACCAACATATATCATATTGTTTTTCTTCTTATAATTTTGTGTTTGTCCCTCTAATTTGATAGTTTTTATTGGATTCCAATGCTATTATAGAGTTCCTATATACATATATATATATATATGCAAAGAATTTAACATAAGGGGGTTATTAGCAGGAAGGGATTAACATACCCATCAGCTTCTTTGTTGACATGCCAACCATGGAGTTCTCCAACCTGTGTGAGTGCCTCTTTCCATTTCATAACAGTGCATTCATCAAAACAGTTCTCGTGCTTGCAAAAGGCTTCCTCGTAACTCCCAGATTGATGGTTCACATCCGATGGTTCAACATCATAGAAGATTGGCAGAATCGATTGTCCATTGCTTCTCTTGCAATCCACCATCTGAGCCAGCTCGTGGAGGCACCATTTACTGGAAGCATTGAGATTGGTATATAGAAGATCGGGATGGAGATACTGGACTCCCTGATTGCTTCGAGGAGCTCAGGGCCGATCTCTTCTCCTCTGCGAAGCTCATTGTCATCCCGAAAGGTGCGAACACCTGCGCCATTGAGATTGGTATATAGAAAATCTGTGAACGTGCGGCGAGTGTCTGGCCCTCTAAAACTCAAAAACACTTCGTATTCGCCTCCTGGAACAGGAACGGAAGTGGCTGAAGCATCAGACTCCATTTCAGATATAATCTCCAGTGTCTTTTCTGCTCGATCGATCCGAAACACAATATTGTGGAAGATAAATCTTGTACGAGTATTACCAACCCCTATGATACCAAACTCAAATCTCTCTAACTCACTTCAGTGTTTGGCCTTTGGATCTGCAAATTGAGACATTCAAACACCCAATTTATATTTGTAAATCTCTCTCGATCGATCGATGATGTTTGGGTAATGGATCTGCAAATTCTCTATCTGGAATTGGAAAATGATAGGCTCAACACAACCCATACACGCAAATTAACTTTCCCAGTGAAGTCAACAGGACAATATATCTTTCGGCTAAAGAGGCAGCTTTTTCCTAGAAATTTCCAACATCAAGAAATTTCCTCACTTCAAGATACAATGTACCTCATACTTATTGTCAAGGTATTTACAATCTTAGAAAAATTACATACATATAAAAGTAATAATGTTGGACTCAAATTACAAACCACTGGCGTCAGCAGAACCCATGTTACAAAAACATGGACTTTAGTTTCAGAAAATTGTAACCAGGTCCAACTTCAAATAAATTTGTAATTAGGAAAAGAAATGGCAAATGAATAACTTGTGTCTCCTAACCGTTAGAGTACGGTAAAATAAACACAATAATTTTAATTAGTTTATGCAGCAAGTTAAATCAATTATAAATTGAAACAAATTTAAAATATATAAAACATCCCAACTAATTTATTTTATTTAATAACTTGAATAATTGAAATGTAGACCATCTTTATTAACATCAAACATTGGTGACTCTACTCTACACCAAAGTGCATTTTTAATAGTCTATTAATAAAAACAAACCACAAACTTATTCTCTAAGTACTAATAAAATTAAACATTTAATTACAAGATTCACTGCCAAACCCATCTACAATAATTACATCTAATGCAAAAAGATTCTCTCTTACTTATTTCCCTATACAAAACTCAAAACTCTATACCCAGCCAGTGGCCATATCAGCATAATATATATATATATATATATATATATATATATATATATGTGACAATTTCAGTTTAATTTCTTTAATATCATCTTCAAGCTTTTTAAGTATTATATTCCTACTTTCTTTCTTGATCAGAGTATATATCTTCTATAATTTCATGATGAGGTACCTTGATGCTTTATAAGCATTTTCATGTCCATTAGACGCAGTCTTGTAGGTATCTTTATGTCATATATACATCTTCTATACTTCAATATATACATTTAAGTATAAAATTTCTAATGAATACACTAACCTTGGATACTTTCTAAGTTTATTTATCCTTACTTATACAATATTATAATCACATCATATATTTAATTTTCAAAGAGAATGAAACAATAATAACTGTTGAATTCGCTACAGATTAACATGTGACATTTAAAATCTATGTACTACTTGTGTTAAACTACGTCAATTAAATTAAAGAAAGTTTAAAATTTGTACCATTTTGAGATAAAAAAAATTTAAAAACTATATTATTTTAAATTAAAAAAAATTCATCATACTTTAACGTTTAACGTTGTTCTCTCTCCCTCATCTTTTTTAAAAAAATATCCACCCTCTCCTCTTTATTCTTATCTTAAACAAGCTATGATGGTCTCTGTTTCTCTTTTAACCTCACGTTCTCTTTCATCTTTTCTATATATAGGGCTTTTAGTAATATTTTCCTAACTCTATCAACATTCATGCTTATATGTATATATCATTTTCCAATCATTACTGTTGCTATAAAAGTTGTACGTCTTGCAATCCTTAAATGATCGGACAAAGTATCACTTATTAATTAAACCTCTATTTGAGGTTTGTTTATTCACAAGTGGTCGAGCTTTGATTGGGAATAGGAAAGTGATTTCCAGCTTCGTTAGGGGATGAGCATTGACCCAGCATTACCTATTATAATCAAATCAATGCATTAGCCGGCAAATATTGTCCTAAACAAATTCATAAATGACTAGACTCGAGGACCCACCATGATGAACAAAACCATATACTGTAGAGATAGTGATTTTAAGAATAGCTTCAAAATGATATTTTGTTGTTACTATTTTATTTAGATGTTATATAAAATAATAATGGTTTATGTGTGAATTCATGGATGAATAATAAATTTAATTACGTCAATATTAAATGTAAACTTAGTTGTCCATGAAATTGAAATTGAAATTGAGGTGTGAACCTGAGGTTTGTTTATTCACTTGCCGCGCATTGATGGGTAATAGGAAAGTGATTTGCAGCTTTGAGCATTGACCCAGGATCACCTACTCTACCAGAAAGTAAAATTAAATCAATGAATTAGCCACTAAATAATTGTTCTAAATAAACTCACATGTGAATACATTTGAGGATGAGGTGTGGTGGCCCCACACTATTGATTATAGATTGATAAAAACAAGTAACAAACAAATAATACGAAGAGAACCATTTCTATATAAATAACTACCTTGAGAAGACAAACCACCTTATTTTTATATCAAAGTTTTTCACTTTTCACTTTTAACTTTTCAATTTTATTTTTTTATCCATCTTTTGGTGAGAAGTGCTTATCACCATTTTGGTCGTTATTAGCCCAAATCTATATAATTAATTAAAACGTAATCTATTACAGATGGAAGAATAAATGATTAAAGAATCTTGGATATTAATCAACAGGGAAGATAATATTTAATTTTTAATCACTTTATATTATGGTATTTGAGAAACTCTAACCTTTACCGATGAATTACTGAACTTCTTTGGTAATTTCTATAAATTCTCCAAATAACACTGTTTAATACTTTCAATTCACTTCACTTCTCTACCTTTTAACTCATTTATATTTGGTTCCCCAACAATCATCACACAAACCAATACAAAATAAAAGTTGAAAGTAAAATTAAGCGGATTTTATTGAAGCCACTATTTGAAGAAATAAATCAAAAGTGACTTTTGATTTCATAAATAATTGAACAGCTGAATACATTTAGCGTGTTTGGCAAATGCAGTCGTTCTTTTAGTGGTATGTATGTACCCTATCACATTCAGTAACTCTATTATTTTTAATTTTAGGAAATTTTCACGCAATTAACAAGTTTGTCAGATTGGGTAATTTTATCAAGGCTATGCAATATTTCAATGATTCCAATTTGTTTAAAACTTTATCGAGTTCAGGACAACAAGTTACAACGATCTTTTTTGACTTTTTTAAGTCTGTTTGACAGATATGTTTTTGTAGAAGGTATTTGGATTCACTCATCTCCTAAAGATGCAAATTGTGGCCAAATTTATTTTGTAATAAATAATTTTTATTTTTTTTATTTTTTTATTTATTTTGCAGCATACACAATTTCATAGCCAATAGTCTCCATTTCTCTATAATTGTCTTTGTAGCTAAACCTGTTATTTATTGGTACAAACATATTTGGGATTATTACATATAAATGGGGTCAGGGCACCATATTTACTTAGAGGCTGAGTCAAAGTCCCATAATTTCTCTAAAATGTGTTTGACCCAAAAACTGATGTGGCACATGAAAAAAATACTGTTTCATATTTTTGTTGCCTAAAATACCCTTCTTCCTATTTTATTTGTTGCCTAAAATGCCCTTTTCTACACTTATCTATTTTCAAGCCCTAATCCTCTTTTCACATTCCATTCGTGCCGGACTCGTGAAGCTCAAGTGTTCTCTCTCTCTACCCTAACCCTCACTTCATGAAGCTCAAGTGCTCTTGATCGGTTGAGTCGATTACAATTATAAATCAACCTTCGCAATAGCACGATTCATTGTAAAATAGGGCTATTGGTCGGGTAAGTCGAACCACTGGGACTGCGCTAATCTATGGCAACTTAAGTGTCTAGAGTCTTTTTAGAATGATAGGGGTGTTCATAGAGGATTTGTTGGTTGTCACTTAAGCTATGAAATTAAGGTGTATAAAATAAAAGCTTGCAAGAATTTAAAGGAGATGAAAGACAAGTAAAGAGGACTAGGGAAGTGAATCCGCTTCCATCCCTATACACATGCTAGATTAGAGCTGAATTGGGGGAAAAACAATATATATTATGGTCATGATACATAGCAACACTTGGTTGCTATAATATCCTCAAGAAGTTCATTAAATCTGAAGCAAGCATGATCCATCAAAGGTTAACATGTTTAGACTACCTAACTAAGGTGTAGCTTAACCACATTTACTTGAATGAAAGACCATCAAGCCCTAGATAAAATGACGAAGCACATGAAGGTAAGAAATAAGCATAAATCATCAAAGGTTTCACCTAAGCAATGATCTATCAAAGTCCTTATCAACATGCCATTAAACCATTTCATAACCTTGCCTCCATTCTCACCATGAAAACTCAAGCAATATGATTAATATAAGACATCATCTAAAACAAGATAATCAACTTAAAGAAATCATCCATACATATATCAACATTCATTACAAGAAATGAAGTGCTCTTGGTTATGAAAAGACCATAGAATATACATTTTAATCCCTAAAATATTGTCTAAATTAGAACATGCTTACAAGGGAGGGGCCTCATCACCTCCCTAGATGGAGGTTTAGTTACCCATGGGAGCTTTAGAAGAAGGAAGAAGCTTGAATGCAACCTCCATTTTCGAGCTCCCTTCCCTTGGCTTCAAGAACTCTATCTTTTTCTCCTCTTTTTTCCCTCCAGAAATCTTGCAAAGATGAGATATCATATTGTTTGTGT